ACAATTCCCAGGTGGAGTTTTTATTGGCGAGAGGTAGCGAGCCAACCTAGTTGTTCGTTCGAGCGGAATTTTCTATTAGAGAGTCGGTAGACTCTCTATATAGGGATGACACGGGTGAAATCTCACGTGATCCGCGTACAAAACAAAAAACTCGGTGAGAATCACTCCCTAGGCCTTCAAAACATACTAGCAATAGTCTACGAGCCCATATCTACCTATACATGTCCCCCAAGACCTCATACGCACCTTCAGTCGTCCACGCGAGAATTTGCTCATACGCGATTTCACGATTTTCGTGTCATCATAATCATTCATCTTCTTCTTCTTCAGACCCGCTAGCTCCTTACCGGAAGCACTTGAAGCGTTGATTTTTTCACAGAACGTCTCCGAATTTGCCGGAGGTGTGCACGCATATTATCGAGCGATCGTTTGTTTCTTGCCGTAAGTCACTACGGTAGATCGTTGAGCTCTTCCTCGGTTGTCACTGAACAACGCCATTTGCTGCTAACTCAGCATCAGTGAGCCGCATGTGCCGAGGAGGGCGTTTCCAATGCGGTGCGCGCGCAGTTTGTCTCGTAAACCAGCGACCAGGACTGGATGCCTGCAGAGAAAACTACGCTCATCCTCCAGTGCCTTCTGTAAGTCAGTGTACACATTTGTAAGTGGCTAGCTTGCGTTATGCTTTTGAAAGGTTCCCGACGATTGTGCGTGGGCGCAGGTTTCAGATAATTTTTTCAATAGCACAGCTAAAACGCTCGTGATTTATAGTGAATTTAGGTATTATTTCTCGGATTTTTCCTACCTTGTTTTCCACACTCATTAGCATATTCATATACATTCTCTATGGGAGAGAAAACTCGTGCGCGACTCACCCAGGAGCGAACTGTCGCTCAGTGGCTTTCTTTGCCTGATTCGGTACGCGGGAAGCGTGACCGGGTGGCAAAAGTCAATGTGAAAACGTAATGCTCAAAACTTGGCCACGCCAAGTAGTTGCGCATAATGGAGACGGACCGTTCGCTCCTGGGTGAGTCGCGCATGGGTTTTCTCTCCCATAGAGAATGTATGGAGGAGGAATATGAATATGCTAATAAATTGGAAAACAAGGTAGGAAAAATCCGAGAAATATACCTAAATTCACCATAAATCACTAGCGTTTTGCTGTGACATTGAAAAAAATATCTGAAACATACGCCCACGCACAATTCTCCGGGATCTCTTGATTTGCACGAGGAGCAACTTGGTAATCTGCGCCGTGTTACGCGTGCCTTGCCAGGCGCCTTCATTCTTTATCCCCCAGGTTATAGCTATTCATTGTAGTCTGATTTCTGAAGCCTGCCCAATGAAACCACCACCATAATTATGTGCCACAACCTAATGACGTCCTTATTGGAGACACTACGCATACACCCTGCTTCAGTCCATTAGCTTCTGCTCTCAACAGTTATCTCTACAACATACCCATGAACATCAGAGTGACTGAAAATGGAGTGTTGTCATAAGGCATGAAAAATAGTGGAAACAAGGGGAAAAATCATTTCTTAAAAATTAAAGGGGGATGATATAGGGATGGCTTGAAGCACCAAAAATGAAGAAACAAGGGGTCATTACACACTAAATATGCGCAAAGCCACATGACACCATCCCTATCGTTGTCTCATATATATTAAACTTTGCTTATGAACAATAAAACAAAGATATAGGGATGGTGTCATGTGGCTTTGTGCATATTTGGTGTGTAATGACCCATTGTTTCTTCCTTTTTGGTGCTTCAAGCCAACCCTATATCCCCCTTCATTTTGAAGAAATGATTTTCCCCCTTGTATAATTATATACGACCGGCGGCGGTCGTACGTCGTGTGAGTGCGCATGCGCGGCTTTGTACGCGCTTCATTACACATTTTCACACACGGTGCCTCGCGATATGTGCGGATCGATCTAGCCAGCGAGAGAACTCTCCTCCATTCGACGACATGCGCTGCAACCTTCGGTGACTGACCAAGGCTGTACCTCTTCCCAATCTTCATGGTTCCAAGGTGCAACTTGCAAATACGCCTAGGATTGCTCGTGCACATACTGCTGCATTCCAGCTACCTGGCGGACCACGACTGACGGCGTAAGGTAAGTACCGTTCTGCTCACCTTCTCACCGTTCTGCCAATGTACAGTACGCATGTAACGGCGACAGGTAGATCTGTCTTGCTTCACGAAAGGAAAGCTGCGTTGACGGCACGTTATGCAGCACGAACATCGCGGGTAGTTGGGTCGTTCCCGCTTGCCAACAATGTTGAACATTTCCACTAGTACATTATGTGCGGTTGATATGGAAATGGTATTATTGGCGAGCGGGAGCGAGAATCACGATCATTGACAGACGCCTGCAACAGATAAGAGTCGCTGACCGGCGGCTCTCGAGCAGGCCTAAATAACCAGTCAGCATACCTTCTCTGCACAAACATGCTAACCAATTGCTTGATCTGTAGTTGGGTCGCTCCCGCTCGCCAAAATTCAACTATAGTTTATGTATAGGTTTGACGATGGCAAATGAGCGGGCAGCGCGAATAGAGCATACTTACCATCATCAAACCTACTCGGTACATGTCTCTGTAGTAACTACAGCACAATGGATAATTATGACACCCTTTTTAGGAAAGCGTTGTGTAAATGCTTGACAGTATATACAGCACAGCAAATTTGCAACAGCAAGTTTGTAACTGCGAATTAAAAAAGTGTGGAATATAGGGATGCCATAAAACGCAAGGAGACAAGACAGGGATGACCTGGGCATGTGATGCAGTAGTACAATGGGATGATTGTTACATCTTCAAACTGACATTTCTTGCTCATGTAAGTTTTACTCCACACTAGCCCAATATTGTCGCCACTCTTACTCATGACATGAGTTTTGAATAATGTAGTTTGAAGACTAGCAAACGAATTCTGTAGGGAAAGCAGCATTGTAAAACCGGTTAGTTGAGCGAACATTGAAGTAAACACAGTCACCTGAGGACCTGTCAGAGAGGGCATTTGCTACCAGTCTTACGTGCATATATAGGAGCCAAGATAAAACAATAGCATTGGTCATCTTTTCCCTTCTCCCACTTATATACAAAAAGTACGCAAATTTTAGCCCTCTTTTCATGGAGTCGCCTTTGAGGATCATTTTACTTATCCAGCTATATAATGTAGTCAAGATATGAAAGATTTTTAGTCCTCCTTTCCTTCCTCCCACTTGCTTACACAAAGTATGATCATTTTAGGTATTTCTAAGCTCACTGCCATCAGGGCCTTGTCCTATTTCAGGTGGACATAATCTTAGAGGAGACATTCACGCCTGGTAGCTTGCTTTAGACTTTACATAAAGAATCGGTGACTGGTCAAAGTGGTTTTGTTTTCTAGACGAAGCATTGCACATTATGACCATGAGGAAGAGGAAACAAGACCGATCCCCTTCATTGTCCCATCCACTGCAGCCACAAACAGTTGAAATGTACTTGGTGTTCCCTCACAATTCTGGGAGCATCGTGAGGATCGCTGAGACGTTGTGCTGGGACGGACGTTTCGGGAGGGTCTTCGAATAACTTTTGTGCAGCGTGTCTACGCATGCGCATATGGCTTTAGCGTGGCAATGAGAGACACACCCCCGCACTCAAGAGTCTCTGTGACACTGAACAAACCAAACAGCGCGATGCAAGTGTGGCAGGCTTCAGCTGCGTTCGTACTCTTCTCCTGTATGACCACTAGTCTGGTGCTTGGTGAGTTCTCTGGTGCGCTTGTCATGATGTACTGTTGGCGCCTTGAAGAGTTCCCTTCCTTGCGCCACTTTAGCTGCTAGCTATGTATATCACATACCTATCCTCATGAATACTATAGTTGCAGAAGACTGATGACAATGTGATATAAAGACTTGTTTCCAAAATATTGCAGGCCAGGGTATCACGGTACGTCTGGTGAACAACGTGACCAGTGGGCTAGGCAGTCAGTACGAGGGACGTGTGGAGATCTACAGGAATGGCACGTGGGGCACGGTCTGCAGTGTCGGCTGGGACTTGGAGGATGCCAACGTCGCCTGCGTCGTGGCTGGATTTGAAACAGCCGTTCGACCTGTCACTGACGGTTTCTATGGACCAGGTCTGTATGTAGAGATGCGCACACACACACATGCGTCGTAGTTCAGTGTAGAGTTTAAAACTGGTGTAGCCAGCGATCCGAGAACTTTTGGCTTGCAGTGGACCTAAAACTTAATTATTTGTATTCAACAAACACAAACTGCTGTCCACATTACACTCGTACAGCATACTGTATGTATGACATCCAAAATATTCCCAACATTCTAATGTGAAGTTCTAATGTGAAATGGTGCCTCCCAGACATGAATTCCCTTGTCAAAAGAATGGTGAAGGGAGATAATGCAGCGGTGGGTATGATCAAAGTTCATCTTGCCCAGGGAGAGCACCCTGTGTATATAGTATGGTGCATAACAGGAAATATATAATTACTCTTTGACCTACTGAATAGTGCTGTATGGCTTGGTGCAATGGCCCACTATAATATTCTACTACGAAGTTCAAAACTTGCCATAACATACAGCATTTTGTTACGCTGTCATCATGTGATATTAATGTGGATGGCACGATTAATGTTTGTGTGATGTTGCAGTTTAGTCGATAGTGCAGTTTTCGTTCTATTTTTGTTTCTGTCTTTTGTCACTTACTCTACTGTGGCAGTTTGACGTCTTTGACGACAACCTTTGTGTTGCAGATGTGATCAAACGTCTTTGTTCAACAGAATGTTATTCCCTACGGCGAAGCATACGTAGTAAAGCCAGCCGCAGAGCCTTTCCGCCTTTAGTGTTGAATTTTTAAAGCAAGTCCAATATATACTCTGATACTAGTCATGATACATATGTACCTTCTTTACATACGCACAGAGAGCGGCCTGTTGTTGGTTCAAATCCCACCCAGGGCAGCTCTTCTTTTTTCCTTGGAAAAAGAGAGTTGTCGTGGGTGTAGTTGACTTGTTTGATTTTCCTTTGCCTTTCTACCTAACCTTGTTGTCACATACATTATGTATATACTATAATACTGATTGCTGTGCTCATTTACTCCAACATCCCCACGGCCATTGCCAAGACCCAATGTCTGAAGTGTAACATTCCGACTTTGCAGAAATCATTTCTTGACTAGCCATCGTTTGCCCACTAACTGTATATGGTAATATACCACACCAAAAAGTACTAGATTTAATTTTAGGCTATTATCATTTCTGAGGTACTGTATATACATATTGTGCCCTGTTCTTAAACATTTGTAAGGCCAATGCAAGATCCTATCCTTCTCCCTCCTCTCTCCCTCGTCCTCAATCATCAGGAGAAAGCAACAGTTCGTCCTACAGTCATCACAGAAATTCATAGTGTGTTTACAGAGTTGACTAGTGTAACAACTGTGCTACTAAAGTTTTCATACTTGCCATATTTAACCCTCGGCGCGCATGCGCAGCGAGGGTTACAGTAGTCTGTGTGTGTGTGTCTGTCTGTTACTCTCAATCTCACTTCTCGGGTGTTTGTTCGTCTCACAAAGGATACGACCTACTTAACTGGCAATGAAAGTCATAAATTTCGAACAGTTTTCTCTGAAACTCCTCCGTTGCAAAGCTAGAGCGCGAAAAAGCCGATATGCAAATACACAACGGACGGGACGGCTTACCACGGTCTGATCGATCCGCGTGCTCTGTGTACCTCGGAGGCACCAGAAGATGCAACGCAGGGCGTGTATCGCTTCTCGCATGCCATCTAGTAGTGTAGTTAGCCCGCGTTAGACTCTGCGCGAGCTGGGAAGAGACCACGAGTGACAACTAAAACTAAACCCAGCCCATCAATTAGTGGTACGGCGCATGTGTTTACTTACGCGTGCGTGTCACAGTTTGCACTTCAGTGCTTTTCATTCTGTGTGTAGGAGGAAGTGGGTTGCCGATAATCCTGGAGAATTCCCCGTGCGCTGGGACTGAGACGAGTCTCGCCGACTGCCCCGGAATAACGTGGGACAGCGTGGGGTCAGAGTGCACTCACGAGAGTGATGCTGGAGTCGTGTGTACAGATGGTATGTTTAGTGGTTTAGTGCTTCATCTCATTACCTAAATTCCCATGATGTGTGTTTTTAGTGTATATGATGATAACGAAAGACTTTTAATAGGTGACCATAGTATGAAGTAGAGTACATGTACATCAACTACTGACATGCACATACAAACCACGACTGACATATTATCATAGACATACAGATTATGGTGAAAATGCCCATGGCACAATCCTCGCACTAATGCAGTCGGCAGTAATACAGCCATCATTGTCACAGTCTTGCCGCTATATTACTGAGTGAGAGTATACTGTGCCATAGCACAGTGGTTTGAGGTTTGCCTTGTGTTGTGTTGTGTTGAAGATTTGAACCCCTATGTACCAGCTGAGTTGCTCTAGGCCTGCTCAAACGCGTGTTTCTCGGTCTGCACCCAATCAATGTCCTGATAGGAGAGGGAGCAAGCTCAGTTGGTAGAGCACTCGCCTAGACTGCAGAGTGTCGTGGGTTCGAATCCCACCCAGGGCAGCTCGGCTTTCCTGGGTGTAGTTGACTTGTTAGTTGTGCCTTTGCCTTTCTACCTCGTATAGTTGACACATGGATACGTACATGCAGAGAATTGCCTGCACAAAATGTTACTAAGAGAATACGTGATTATACAGGTAACACTTTTTGTCTCATTTCAAACACCACTGATTTCTACAGACTTTGCTGTTCGCCTGGTGGATGGCCCAAATCCCCACACTGGCAGAGTGGAGGTCTACCATTCTGACCAGTGGGGCACCATCTGTGATCATGGCTTTGACTTTCTCGATGCAGACGTGGTATGTCATGAACTGGGCTACCCTGGAGTTGACAGCTTTCAACGGTAAGGCATGATAATTCTGTACACTTTCATTTATATCATTCTGAGTCTCAAAGCTACGAGCACTTGTTAACCCTCGGCGCGCATGCTCAGCGAGGGTTACGGTATTCGTTTTGTGTGTGTGTTGTCTGTCTGTCTCTCTGTCTGTCAGTCTGTCAGCAGCTCGCACTACAGGCTACGAGGCGGCCCGTGAGCGATACCAACGTCTTTATTAGGTGTTTTTCCTGAAACGACTGCATTCGAGAGATATGCCGTGAAAACAAGCGAAAAAGCCAATATGCATAATTGTACTGGGCTTACTGCGACCTGATCCGCTCGCTCTGTGTACCCTGGAGGCTCAGGAAGTCACAACGAATAGCATGCATCGACTCCCACATGCTATCTACTACTGTAACTAGCCCAGGTCAGACTCTCCGCGAGCTACTATATATAGTGGGAGACCACGAGTAAACGCATACAAATCGCCCAGCCCATCAATTAGCAGTATCGCACATGCGCAGTTCGCCGAGGGTTTGCACTTTAGTGCTTTTCATTAAGCAGGCAGCTCTCACATCCAACATCAAAATAATGCCCATATACAGTACATGTACAGAGGCCTCTAAATTGGTGGAGTCTTACATTCTGGCAGTGATGTATACAATGTATACAGTGGCATGGCATGCTCAGATTAACTTATGGGGCTGAAATACGCACAATTACATCATAAACCTGATGCTGTTTTTATGAGAAGACCTGATTAGCTCAGTTAGTGAGTTCCGTACAAAGAACCTTGCTAGCAAGAAGAATATTCTTTTTTAGACGTAGGCAGATTCAAATTGACCAATCAGATTGCGTAAAACGTGGATTCTGTATTTTCCAAGTGCGTGTTTTCACAGAGACGGCCGCCAAAAAATTGTGTCTTCGATGGGGGTGTGGCAAGCTTCTGCGCAGAGAAACTCTCTCTGTCGCTCAGAGCTCGACGCGACGACTTCAAACTCGCTGTATCCGATGCTTCTTGGATGAAAGGCGTCTCTACGATGTAAAAAGAAACTAAAATGGAGACCTTTTTAGCTTCCCCCAGCGAGAGTCTCGCGGAAGACGACGGACCTGGACGATTTGATGGCCAGCACAGCCTCCGTCTAAATAGGTTATACTGCTTGTCGATGGAAATACACTATTTAGACGGCCTCGGAGCCCTTAGTAGCGTCTTCGCTGCGCTCAGACAGCTACAGCTCAGGGCCCCTCGGGCCGTCTAAATCCATTGGCGCGCAGTAAAACCTATATTTGGTTGCATCTTAGTTACTCGTGTAGACGATTGAATGTACATGAAGATATTAGACCTGTACAGACACAATGTTTGATGCCCTACTTAAAGACTTGGATAGTGGAAACGTTCACGCTATTATAAAATCCCGTGTCGACATGTGTATAATGTATTGTGTGTATGGTGCATTGGTGTGTTCTGAACCAAGAGTTTGTGTAATGAGTGGATGAGTTCTGTGCTAACTCGGTGCAGGAATAACCCCTATCCTGGGGCAAGTGGACCAGTCTGGATGCACTACCTGCAGTGCAATGGTTCCGAGGCGTCCATTGCGCAGTGTCCATTTGATGGATGGGGTTCTTCCTGTGGCCACTATGAAGATGTCGGTGTTATGTGCCTACCAGGTATGTTATTCACCTCAGTGGGTACCACCCTACACGCTATTTGCACTGCGATGAAAATCTAACAGCTCAGGCATGCAAGAGAAAAAATGCTGCTTGGGCTTCTTTATAGGAAACGTATACATTCTGGTCTTTACCACAACTATACAAGAGATATTTTGTTCCTAGTTGTGCGTGCTATGCAGTCCTAGTGTCCGGAGATGAGTATAAATAAACGTGTATACAAGCACAAAATACGTTCGAACCCTGCAGAGTAGGCCTGTAAAAGTTATGCACCATAGCTCTCCGAGGTAACACCTCAATGAGACTTGATGGTGATGTATAATTTATAATGAGTCATAACACCTCTCAGTGAATATACAAAAATTGTACATTACGTGCACCAATGTGCAATTGGGAGTGGGCACGTGTGTAATGACTTGCGAAACGTCTGTGTGTGATTTGTATGTCTCTCCTCATAGTCTCTCTTGCACCCTCGCAGCTGATCATGGAGATGCTCCCTATTACCCAATACGACTCAACAATGGGACAGCCACTAGCAACACCACCGGAGGACAGCTCCGGCACGGCAGAGTGGAGGTCTACATCAACGATACCTGGGGCACCATTTGTAACTACGGCTGGGGCATCGAGGATGCAGATCTGGCCTGCAGACAATTAGGTAGGTGCCGTTACACATTCCTTTCATTCCGCATTGATTCCTGGAACCCTGTATGTCCATGTGCATAATTATATATATAGTGTACATGTAAAATTACACGTGCTATTGGTGTGGCAATGTATAACGAAGGCGTAGTCAAGATTCATAAAGTACAAGGCTTTGTTGCAAAGACACCATCCTCTGGGATACCTTTCTTAGCGTATATATATAGCACGCCCTTCAACCATTTCGAAGCCTGTTTTGTGCGGATGAGGTCACCCATTAACTCAGTTCTGCTCTAACGCCGCAACATGCATCTGCATCTTCTAGCGTGCACCTCTTCTCCCTTTGCTGTGCTGAAAAAGCCCTGTTTTTTTGCCTGCTACAATACATACGGGCTAAATAGTAAACTGCGTGCTTGCACAGTTTCCCCTTGATGAACATATGCAGCACAGTCGGGACCTCCTAGAGCCACAAGTGATTCGATTGCCATGAAATTCCCACTCCTTCGAGATTGCAATACATCCAAAAGGGAGATGTCCACTTTTACAATGCATAAGTATATAAGTACGTGTGTAATAGTTACATGATGCGTGTGTTGTGCTCCCAAAATATGCAGGGTTTTTCGGGGCCCTGTTTTCATCCAGTCAGTCAGGGTATCCAGTGGACACCAACGACTCGGTGCCCATCTACTGGTCCCAGGTGTTGTGCCACGGGGATGAGCTGTCTCTCTCCGAGTGTCACCGCAGTACACAATATTACTGCTACCACTACCATGATGCCACCGTCTTCTGTGCAGGTGTTTGTACATTTTATATAGCATGATCGAACTTTTTTTAGCCTCCCTGGCTTGGTTGTCTATGTGTCTCTCTATGCATGAAGGACACCCCTATGGGGAAAGCAGGGAAAGATGGAGGGGTGGGGGGTCTTTTTATCCCCCCTCCCCCTTCTCTTCTCCTATACACAGAAGTACTGTATCTACTTTGAATAATGTGTGTAATACATGTATAGTACACCTATAATACGGTGTTTGGAAGTGGATGTTGTCGACTGCCTAAAACCCTGCCTACATATCTGTACTGAAGAGTCAGTAATCCTTCCCTCTTCCCAACAACATCTCACAC